ATAAGACTAATATATATATATATATATATATATATATATATATATATATATATATATATATGTGTGTGTGTGTGTGTGTGTGTGTGTGTGTGTGTGTGTGTGTGTGTGTGTGTGTGCATTTAATGGCTAATTGTGAATCACAATTTAATTTTAAAGTTAGAAAACCAGTGTCTCATTGCTCAGTGCTAGAAACTAATGTAACATGCATCTTTATTGTGGGAAACAAAGTTAATTACATTAGTCCCTCGTTTATCGCTGGGGGTTCCGTTCTAAGTCCACCCGCGATAAGCGAAAAACCGCCAAGTAGGAACAGTAGTACAAATAGTAAGTAGTAGTTTATTTTAGTTATATATTGCAAGAGTGTGGGAAGTGTTTAGGTGTTTTAAACCCTTCCTACACTCTTGCAATATTCTAAACAATGTTTCTAAGCTCTAAGCTCTCTAAAAGAGCACAGCGTGCCATGATCTCTGCTCTCTCTGCCACCTGCCAGGGAGGGAGCTTCTCCCTGCACCTGTAGGCTGCACAGATGCAGCAGGTGCTAAATAATTTAAAATAATTTATTTTAAATTTAAAAAATCCATGCCTATCGTGCGGCTCATCCATCAACCAGTCAATTGTGTGTCATGTCTCCGAACTTACTTTGAAAAACCGCGAAAGACGAACCACGAAGTAGCGAGGGACTACTGTATTTCAATTCCTATTTTGTGGTCAATACTGGTTAAAGACATATATTAATAATACATATAAAATAAATAAAGAACAATGAATATGTTTATGGACCACTCAATGGTTTCACGTATAAACACTGACCTTGCTAACTGCCTGCAAGGCCTTCTTGCACTCTTCATATCGTGCTGAGTCTTTAGGCGTCTTCTGGCAGATTGTCTGTAGTGCAGAGATTCAGGACACGTCACATACACATAAATATCCTGCACATATAGAACACTTTTCATGGGCTATAACTCCTCCCACTCATCCCATTCCATTCATGTTTACCACACTCCCACCAGCAGCAGCCTAATAAAATATTGAAGCTGTGGGAAGAAACGAACAAAAATAAAACTTTCTCAAGATTCAAAAATCTGTGCGAGTACGAGCATAAAACCCCAGCACCTCCTGGGAGAGGACTGATAGAAGGCAGAGGGGAATAAAAGTCCAAGAAGAGGAAAAACAAATGAAGGACGGCAGAAACATTATGTGGCCAGAAGAAGAAAAAAAAATGTAAGTGAAAAAATAAACGTTAGAAGAGGGAAAGTGGAAATAAATCTTTTTTAGGTTATTAAACAATGATGTGCGGTCACAGAAACATCTCTGAGGTTGGAACCCGCCCAGTGGAGAATCACATAAACAAAGTGTTGCGTAACAGTCAGATTTTGACATTCCAGTTTGTGCTACCGTTCAGCTCACTCACATCCATGAGCAGAGGCAGACGAGTGATCCTCTGCATGGGCAGGATGAGGAACGAGATCATGGGGAGATTTCTGCAGTCTGGGTGGCCCTCGATCCTGGTTAGCACCTCCTTAAAAGATGGATTCTTGGAGCTGAAGAGAGGAAGGAAGTAGAAACTAGATCAGAAGAGTAATGATGGTGCGCAGAGATAAAAGACGGGGAGGGGAATCAAGCGCGGGGTAGAGCCCGCTGGCATGTTGGATCAAATCCGTTGTATGTTCGCTCGGTCACTCACATTAACTTCTGCAGCGTTCTTTGCTGATAGACCTCGTTAGAGCAGTACGTAACGTACGGATCAAAGTTGGACTCAGCGTGCCTGCAAATGATGTCACTGATGTCATCGATGACTATGTTGTGTTGGTGTCTTTCCTCCAGCTCGGTAAAGAACCTAAACAGTGATGAAAGAACAAAGGTATGTCAGGAGTTAAGACATCATTGAGTAAAAACCATCAAATCCCCCTCCCCAGAGAGGAAAAAATACAAAGTCAGGAAGGTGGAAGTGCCACTGACACCTCGCAAAAGGAACTCTGTCTTTAAATAGACACAATCCAACATTAACTACACCGCGGAGACTTTTCCACTTCCTGAGCAACACCAGATGGCCGATGGAAGGACACGCCATTTGTTTAACTCCAGAAGCACTGAAGTTGAACCGTAGAGGTTTCAGAGAAGTGTTTTTACATGTGCGAGCTCAGGTGACAAACAGGAAGCTCAGATTTTGTCTTTGACCAGTTGGGGCAGGTCTGAGCCGGAGCACGGGGATCGTTCAGATTGTTTGTGGAAAGCTTATGAAGAATTCAAGTCTTACTCGTTGGGAAGATTTTGAATGCTGAGCTAAGAGAGGGTTTAAGCTAACGGCTAAAGTTGGCTTGCTGTTGTCCTAAAATAATTAATCTAAAAAAATGTCATGGTGGCTGATGCGAAAATGATTTTATACATTTTTACACTACTGTCAAGTTTCAATTATATGTTAGTTATAAGCCCAAAGCTGCACCCAGGGCCGGCCCAACGCATAAGCAAATTAAGCGGCTGCTTGGGGCCCCGGGGCCACTAGGGGGCCCCCTAAGTGGAATTGATTTTTTGTTGTTTTTGTTGTTTTTAGTAATGATTTCTATATGATTCTATTTAATATTTTAAGTTCTGCTTTTGCAAATTGTTGCATACATTTACACCGTTTTAAGAACTTATTGTTCAACTTTATATTTATTTTTGAAACCGTTTTACGTGATTTCAATTGTTCATTTACATTATTTAAGTATTTCCTTAATATTTTTTTTGTCTGTTTTTGCACAATTTGATTTATTTGTATGCATCTAAGTTATGTTATCTGTTTGTTGTTGATCTTGCACTACAAATTATTTTGAACATTACTGTTGCAGTTCTTTGGAACCAAAGACAATAAACCAGATGACACTTTTGCTATAAAATACATTGTGTACTGGTGTTTTTTGTCTTTTGGTTGTCCTTACTTTAAGTACCACTCGAGCGCACATGTCAAACTCAAGGCCCGTGGGCCAAATCTGGCCAGCCATAACCATTTCTGTGGCTCTCTACACCCTAGAGGGCCACAAAAACAGAATTTCAAGATAACAGTTGTGTGCTTCAATATTACTGTATCAGTCAAATTAAATCAGTTTTTAGTTTATAATGCCAAATTACTCAAACATAAAATATTAAATTTTAGAAGTAGTCATCAAATGCAGAGAAAGTTATATTTTACCAGTTTGTTAATAGGTAGTTTTATCAATACATTTTATTATGGCTGGTCTTTTGAGGACATTCGTTAGCTTGATGTGGCCCAAAATGAAAACGAGTTTGACACCTCTGCACTAGATGATGTCATACAGGATCATGTAAAAAGGGCTGTCAGAGTTGCAAAGAGTTTATGTTTGGTGGGTGAATGATCTGATCATCTGACTGTTGATTGCAGTAATCCACATTAAATAGAGGGCCCCAAACCAAATTTCGCTTAGGGCCCCATGGAGGCTTGGGTCGGCACTGGCTGCACCAGAAGTGCTCTAGCAAGCTGTTGCTACAACTTATTAACAAAAAAATATTGTGTAAATAACCAGACAATTGGCATTGTATTGTATTTTAAATGTTTATAAAATATCTTTTGCATGAACTGTTGTGCACTTATTGAAAGTGAAGCGTTTTAAGATGCCTCAATCCACTTTGGTCTTGGTCCTGCTCAGGCTAACCGTTAGCATTTCAGTCTGATCAGAAAAAAACATCCACTGGTAAGATAATGGTTTGCAAGCTTTCCTCAGAAACAAACATTGTACTTTAAGTTTCTTTTAGAAACATTGTTTCTAGTGACCAAGTACACATGTAAAAAAGCACACACTTTTGTCACCAGTCCATGTCCTACAGATTTTTTTTATTTTTTTTTATTTTAAGAAGCGGTATGCTGATGTCTCCTGTCACTGAGATTTGAATAGTGATTGTTTGTAATATTCAAGATGTGGTTTTTTTTTCTGTACTGGAACTAAACAAAGAACGCAAGTAAGTTTTAATGTTTTAGATGCAAGATATTACAATGCGTAGGTGTTACATTGTGTATAAGCTGAGCTGTCCCTTAGTGATGCTGCTATAGACTTAGACTGCTGGAGGACAAACTGACCACATTTTTTTCCACTATGCTTTTCTTTACTTACTCTGCTCAACCTGATTAGCATTTGTAATTATTTTTTTCTATCCTTAACATGTGTTTTTGTCTTTCATGTACACCTGGACCTATATCTGGACCTGCCCTTCTGTGTTTGTTTGCCTCTCATTCCTGTTCCTCTCAAACCCAGCTGGTCAAAGCAGATGGAGTTCTGCTGGAGGTTTCTTCCTTTTCAAAAGGGAGTTTTTCCTTTCCACTGTTGCCATTGTGCTTGCTCAGGATGGGAGACTGCAATGAAGTGAAGATTCAACTTGTCTGTTGGTTTCCTTTAGAGAACTTTGCTGGTTGGCTTTTCTATGTATGTGTGTTTTCCTGAGACAACTTTGTTGTGATATGGCGCCATATAAATAAACTGAATTGAAAATTGAATAGGAACATATGAGATATTTGTTTATCATTTTTTTGACTTGTCCTGGTGAGCAGATGGAGCAATTTTATCCATCACCAGGTGCATAGACAGAGTTGGGGGCCACCATAGATTAATCATTAGCCACCCCAGTGGCCATCCCAATTATTTGAGGAGACTATACTATTAAGCAATATAAAAACTAGTAATCTTAGTTTCCTTAAGTGATAGGGGTGGCCTGGTCGCTTTTTGTCTTTAACCTTTTTTTTTTAATTAATGGTGGTGGCCATCTTGGATTTTGACATCATAACCCAGTTTTCGAAAGGAAGCTTTCTTATGCCTAGATGTAACGTAGCTAATCAATTTCAATTCAATTTCAATTCACTTTATTTGTATAGGGTCAAGTCACAATAGAAGTCATCTCAGGGCACTGAACAGAAACATTCATATATAAAAATAATATTAACAAAAACATTAATAAAAATAATAATAATTTAACATTATTTATCTGAGGAGCTGACTGCTTTGAGTTTAACTCCATCACAGACTCTCATCTTGAGCAAGCATGAAGGTGACAGTGGACAGGAAAAACTCCCTCATGAGGAAGAAACCTTTAGCAGAACCAGGCTCAGGACAAGTGGACATCTACTTCGACTAGTTGGGTTTGGGAGGAACAGATACACAATGGCAGGTCGAGAATCACATTAAGCTAGAAATAGTATCTAATGAAAACTATTCAATTTAAACAATTCATTTTAGTAAATTAGGCCAATTTGTTCTCCAGTAGTCTAAGCTTAAGACAGCATGACAAGCCAACCCTAACTATAGGATTTATCAAAAAGGAAAGACTTTAGCCCAGTCTTAAAACTGGACAATGTGTCAGCCTCAAGGACAGAAACTGGAAGTTGGTTCCAGAAGAGAGGAGCCTGATAACTGAAAGATCGTCCTCCCATTCTGCTTCTGGAAACTCTAGGGACCGCGAGTAAGCCTGCAGTTTGAGAGTGAAGTGCTCTGTTTGGAAAATATGGAACAATAAGATCTCAAATATAAGATGGAGCTAGGTTGTTGAGCGCTTTGTAGGTTAGAAGTAAGATTTTGAATTAAATTCTGAGTTTGACTGGGAGCCAGTGGAGAGAAGCTAAAACTGGAGAGATATGATCTCTCCTACTAACTCCAGTTAAGACTCTGGCAGCAGCATTTTGGATCAGCTGAAGACTTTAAAGAAGTATTTGGACACCCAGATAACAAACCATTGCAATAGTCCAGTCTAGATGTGACAAATGCATGAACCAGTTTTTCTGCATCATTTTTAGATAAGATGTTTCTAATTTTATGGAAGTTGGCACGTTGCTTATTATTCAAGTTATCACGCTCACAACATTCACGGACCGACAGACAGACGGAGGGTATTTCCAGTTCCCCCTTCCACTCTGCGACTGGGGACCGAACAGGTCAATGCTGCTAACATTCAGCCTGCTTCCCCTTCAGATGCAAAACAGCCTAAACGCACACCACAAAGAATATGTTGCCAAGAGAAAATGAAAGCTTTAAATCAGGGTGACAAGAACAAAAATGTGCAGAATGGCTACTAACAAAAACAGGGTTACACTATTTGAACATTTTTAAATAACCTTATCAACTTTAACTCATCTGTCACTGTTGTTAATTTGTTGGGTTTTATTTGGTGTATTGAAGAGGGAAAAGGTCCTTCCCAGAGGATACCATCACAAACAGTGTCACACCTGCACAGAAAAACACCCATTCTCTATCAGACAGACTACACAAAACCAACTGGAAGGGAAATATACACCTTTTGTTTTGAGAAGTTAAACTAAAAAAAACACAGCCTCTTGTTTAACCAGTACTGTGGTGTACAGTCATACATTAGAGTTTACGTGAGAAATGAAAGTGAGTGGGGTTTCAGCATGTCCAAACACAGGATAGAATATTTAGGGAATTTACAAATATCTCCATGCAAACAAAGATAAAATGAGATCTTCACAGATGTACAAAAAAACACTCATAAACATTCACACACGTCTGGTGAGCTTAGAGGAAGTCTTCAATATAATTGTACAGTAGGAAAAATCTTTCTTTAAGAAGGCGGCTGCAGATGTTGTATGAAATAACATCAGCCCAAGCAACGTTTTTAGTTGCTCGTTGTACGTTTACACAGAAAATGCCACTAAATATGTTCAAAATAAAATCTACAAAAGTTCAGATATTTTCTGTTCTGTTGACAATTATTATCTTACCTGTTTTAGATTAATTTTACAAACTGTCTTAGTTTGCCAAAATAATTTCATTGTTAACAAGCTAACAGCTAGTTTGAGCTGTAAGCACTATTTTATAAACTTTGGCATTGCTGCCTGACATGTGACATTTTTACACAGAATTCTATCATTATCTTTAATGGCACATAGCAGCAACTGTTAGCTGTGGCACTTCCAGTAAGAATATCACAGTATGTCTACTAGATCAGCCATGTCATGCAAAACTGACAACTGTCTAAGATTCATAAAATATGTTTTGCAAGAACTGCGCTGAAATGTCTAAGACTGGAGTTGTGTTACATTAGCTGCAGTCATCCTTGATTAACTTGTTAAACCTGTCAAAAACAAAATCGTATTACCATCTACAGGTAAGATATTGCTTTCATAACCTTTCCACAGAACATACAGGGTAGGATATGATGGGGGAAGTTATGTAAAGGTCATGGATGTTTTCATTTACTACTGTTAAATTAATACAGAACCATGTATGTGAAGTCGAGTCTCTTTGTCTACTCAGAGAGGATCCTGATAACTTCTGACATCTTTAACAACTGTGAGCTGTGAAGCAGAGGTCGTCATGACCTCGCCTTTGTTGATGACGGGTATTTAAGCTTTAGCCCCTAGTATACTGCCGCGTACATACGTGTTAACGGACGTACGCGTGTACTGTACGCAGACGGTTCAGACTTCGTACTCCAGCGTACACCCCGAGCAGCTGCAGAGCAGCTTCACAGACAAGGGGCGTTTACCTTTGGGACAAATTGTGGTCGCCGATTGGTCATTTGCTGACACACCTACTTGATTGATTGACAGGTCGGAAAAAAATTTTAAAAAGCGAGCGCTGGCAGCCTCAGCTGCAGCGGTGTTCTGTGTTTATATGTTGTTAATAAAAAGATCTAAAAAATAAATAAAAAAACAGGGAGCGCTGGCTCTACAGCCCACACATCAGACCAGCCCAACAGGAAATCTTCAGACCCTCCCGCAGCCATGCTGGACCTGAGTTTAATTCGCTCGAGACAAATTCCTTCATTTCTCACCATTTCAGTCATGGCATCAACGGAGGAGGAAGAGATCACTTGACTTTTGGCAAAAAAAACAAAAGAAAAGGCCAGATCAGGGATGAAGAAGGGGAATTTAATACATTGGTGTCGCATACAAAACAGTCCGTCGGTGGGCAGTTTATTGTGCGACACCGCGTACGCGTATGCGGTCATAAAAATTTGAGCGTTGCACAGACATGCCCTGGGGGGTACGCTCGTACCTCTGCGTACGTACGTGCGTACCTCTGCGTATGGACGTATGCGGCAGTATACTGGGGGCTTAACTCGTTGTCCACAGGCAGACCTTGTGATCAGGGCTTCATATAACATCGTGCATGCCTGTTTTCAATGCTGCACCCCCTTGCAAGGATTAAACCTGGGTTGAAAAGATCTTCTCACATTTCTGTTTGTGGCTTATTTGATTAATGAGTTGATGACAGGATAATTAAATTGTCCAACAGGATACTTTGTTTCAAACAGATGAAACGCTGGCAAGTAGTTTTTTACTTACTCACTGTTATTGATTTTTTTTTATTTCTATTATTATTTTTAGTGTATGTTTCTACTTTTGTGCAGCTCTACCCCCCCCCCCCCCATTTTTTTTCTTTACTATTATTTTTTTCAATAAGGCTGTTTTAACATGTTCTAAACAAATAGTCATTTTAATTTTACTATGTCTTTTCACCCCAACACTTACTAGCTTGCATTTTGCATTGAAATAGCAAGAATAAATGTTATTTTTGTCTGTGTTAGTAAAACATTGACTAAATATAGTCCGAACTGAAGACTACGTAAAGTCAACTTCCTCAACAGCTCTTGTGCTATTTCAAATAGCTGAGGCAGCGCAGATTATTTTAGCCTCAGCTTTTTGAGTGCTTTCATACATTTATAAGGTTAATGTTCGGAAGAGTCATCAACCAGTTTACCCACGTGCAAAACTAAAATCTGATGGACAAGTCAACTTCAGATAACTGAAGACCAAACTCTTCGCAGCCAGCTTGTTCCAGCTCTCTTTGATTAACATTTGACTTCACACATAAAAACAAACACGAGCTCTGCGCAGTCGAAACGGAACCGCTTTCAAAAAGAAAACTGCCCCACATGAGAGAACTACAAGAAAATGCCATCACATAATCCATCCATGCATCCATTTCTTCTTCTTCGTGGGTGGTGGAGAGCTGGTGTTTATCTCCAACCACCACTGCGCAAGAGGCAGGGGACACCCTGGACTGGTCACAAGTCCATAGAGACAAACACTAATACTCATTCACACTTTCACTCACACCTAAGGAGAATTTATTGTTACCAATAAACCTAGCATGCGTGGTTTTGGTCTATGGGACGAAACTGGAGTACCTGGACAAAACCAACAATGAGAACATGTAAACTCCACACAGAGAGATCCCAGACTGGGAGGCAAAGCTGTCATGAAGAACCCCCAAATGAAGCCTAAAACTGCCAACCAGCTCAGAGAAATAAAAAAAAATAAATAAAAACTACAAAAAATAAGCATACTTTTTGCTGGCCTCACAGACGTCTGAGATGTTGGAAAACAGGTGGTGGTGCTCGGTCTTGGTCATAGCCTCACTGAGCTCCGCCGAGTTCTTGAACATGCGGATGAGAATCTCCAAACTGTGGAGGTAGGAGTGCTCCGAAGAGATGACCTCAAAGATGGCCTGAGGGGAAAAGCAACAGAATCAGGGTTGTGGGTTCACAGTGAGTCAGGTGATCCGTGGAGTGGAATGTGCTCCATCATCAGCATGTCTCACATACCTGCAGGCTTCACTCACGCCAGGAATGTTAAAGACAACCACGCACTCCTAAACGCCTATGAACACGTTTTTTGTGTTTTAAAGTATCTTATGTAATCATTTATGAGCAGTCGCTCCACTCTACTTTCAAATGATTTATCTTTGATCAATTTTAAGTTTAAGTGCACCTCTGATACGTTAATGGGTTTTTGATTAGAGTAGCAGAATATAAAATACCAGAAAGAGAAGCTTCTCTCAGTTCTTGATGACTCTAAAACGTGTTGCAAAATTAAACTGTAATACGCAAAAAAAATACACAAATCCTACCTCCTGTCGTTTGCGTTCCTCCGGCCTCAGATGATCTAAGAGGCCACTTTTCTTGACCTAAACAGAAAACATTCATGAACATTAGTTTATTCCAAGTCAAGAGACCTCTTTATTTATCACAAGGCTGTGTGCTGTTATCGTTGTTGTGAGATAAAGGAACATTTAGTATCAATACTGAATTTCTAAGATCAAAATGGACAGGCCTTGTCTTCAATTTGAAAGAGATATTTTGTTGTCAGCATAAAGCAGAAACCAATTTTTGTATGTTGGTATGCAGCTGATATTTATATACACAAGCAAATCAATTTTATCAAACAAAGTGAAGGTGTAATGCTATAAAATTAAATGGTCTTTGGTAGGAACAGTAATAACATTGACATTTAGAAGTCTGTTTCTGTTATGAACAATAAATATCTTACCTGTTGCAGAACACTCTTTGAACAGCCTCAGTTTGACAGAATGACATACTGACAGATAGTATCTCACTAGGTGGTGTGTCAGGGGAATTTAAGTAAAGGTTACGAATGATTATCACTAATGTTAAATTAATGTGCGCGAGTTAGAGAGTTGTTTTGTCGCCTGCATGCGCACGGAGGTGCACCTGATTAACTCTAAGGCCTTCGCCGAGTCTGTAAGCTGGAAAGCCGAGGTCGTCTTGACCTCGCCTCTTGTCTGATAAGCACTTCTTGCCTCACAGTCTGGTGCAGCTTCTCACTGACGAGACTAAAAGCATGGGATTTTTGCACATCTGTAAAAGCTTCCTCGTGACCTTCTATCCTTGCAAGTAAAGACAAGTTAAAAAAATCTTCTCGTGTCCTCAGAGTGGCTTATTTGAGTAAACAGATGATGAAAGGATATTTATTTATCCATCCATCCATTCATTATCTACCGCTTGTTCCGAAGTCGGGTCACGGGTATATATATATATTTATTTAGGGTATTTATTCAATAAGGATATTTATTGTGTTGGCGACACAAAATTTCAAGAAAATACATAAGTTTTTGTTGCAGTCTCACTAAGTTTTCAGTGTTTACACTGGTGGTGCATTCTTGAGCTGTCACTTTTTGAACATCACGTCTCTTTGTCTGGTGCACAGCTTGCAAAATTGTATTCCAAGTTATGGACATTATTTTGTCGCCTACTTCCGCCCGCTTTCTCAGCCACCCCCCCCTCGTATTTTGGAGATGAAGATGGGCAGATTGAGACCAGTTTTGGACGAGTATTATTTATAATCAGTGTGGGATTTTTTTTTAATCTGGAGCTCTTGTGCAGGTGTGAAATTGTTCAAAACTGAACAGTCAAAATTAGGCGCCTCTGTGAATCACGCAACGGTATCTTGAACACCCCCCCACACACACACACACACACACAAATGCTTCAAGATGGAGACTCGCAGTGAGATGTTATCTTAACAGCTAGTCTGGGCAGAGCCGAGACCAACGTGGATTGCTTTGTCTTTAAACAAGTCACACCTCGAAAATTTAATGGCAGTTCATAAACCTTTATATTGACGAAAATTTGGCGTTACACAGTTGATTACATAAAACTGGCTGCCAGATGATGCCTCATGATGCAAAATTAACAACAATTTAATGGTTTAGAAAATCGTATTTTCATGAACTGCCATAATTTCTTTGGAGATTTGAGTTGTTTTAGGACTACAACAATCCACTTTGGTCTTGGCTCCTCAGACTAGCCATTTTCTCCAGTGCTATACGAGAAGCTATCTACAACAAGTAAGATATTTACTGGTCCTAATCTTTCCACAGATCACAACTTCAGAACGATCTTTAAGGTTTAGTTAAAAGCGTGGCTCTTTTGCACGTTTTCCCTCATCCAGGTGATGTGGACAGAAGGATTGCACATAACCAGTTAACCAGACGATGTTATCTTCCCTACAAAGGTTCCCATCCTGCTTTGGATGAATCATTTTCCTTTGACAAGGAAGTGATACTGCCTCCTCCAGAAACGCTATCCCTCCAGCAGAAGTGTCTGCCCCTGAGTATTCGGCAAACAATGAGAACAAATAAAACTAACAAGCGCCTCACGAGATTGGTCTTTATTTGATTTCTTCCACATGTAAAGATAACTTGGTTAACGATTAACCATTTTAGAAAAACCTCCACTCTTCTGTTTAAAACGTGGTGCTATGCAGCTGATTTTTTTTTTATTTTTTTTTTTTACAAGAGCAACTTTCCTTTAATTGGTGTCAAATTAATAAAAAAATAAACTTCTGAATTATACTTTGTGCTCCACTGAAGCAGTTTTGACTGGAACATTGTTGATAATGTGTTGTCCTTTAGCAGAAATGTACAAGCTGAAAATGTTTTGTTTGTTTTTTGGGGGTGGGGGGGCTTAAAGCTGTACTACAAAAAAATACAAAACTTCCATAAAAAGAGTGAATGTCAGATTTGCCCCACCTTCAAAAAACTACCAGCTGTAAGAAAAACAATAAGAAACTGGTGGATTAAACGTCCTCACATACTCCAACTAATAAGTGAAGGGTGGAGCTATGCGAGTTTTACCCATAAGGTGTGACAACCTGAACATCCAGTTCTCGTCTTATTGGAATTTAAAAATAAAAATGTTCTAACACTTTGACAGTAACATCATGAGTGCCATCATTTTCCCCTAAAATCAGAAAGACAAGTCAGAGGCGTTGGCGTGAGACTTCCAGCAAGACGAAACTCATACCAATCCACAGCTGTACGGCAGCTGGGATGGAAAACGAAAGCATACTTCGGTTTTCATCCGTGTCTTGATGTAAGCAGAAGCAAAGATGTGCTAAAAGAAGTTCTCTAGTTTCAGTTTAATTCCAAATCCATTACAGGCTCTGTGCCACTATTTTCAAACTGATCCTAATAGAAGCATTCACTCTATTGTTTTTCTGTTTATATTTATTATTCCTACTTGATCCTTTCTGTACGTTTTTCAGCATCTAACTAGTCACACAGAGCTTGTTCTGCTCCTTTCAGCTTACTTCTGTAAGTTTCAGCTTTTTCGGCTAGCATTTAGCTGTTTCTACGCTAATTTCATCTTTATCAGCTAATTCCACATTTTTTTGCACTCATTTAAACTTTTTTCAGCCTAATTCAGCAAAAAACATGCTCTCCCAACTTCCTTCTAGTAATTTAAGCTTCTTTCTGCTTGTTTTAGCTACTATTCAGCTGGTTTTGACAAATTACAGCTTTTCTTAGATCATTTCAACTTTATTGTGCTAAGTTCTGCCTTTTTCAGCCTTTGTGGGCACAATTAAGCTCCCTCCACTTCCTTTTGGAAATTTAAGTTTCTTTCTACATTTTTTTAGCTACTATTCTGCTGTTTTATAGAAAAACTAGGATAACTCTGCTATTTTTAGAGCTATTCAGCTGAAACTTGCCGTATTGGTAGCTGACAAGGATCCCTAATAGACTCTACGGAAATCAAAAATCCAAGATGGCCACCTTAGCAAAAAGGGAAAAATACTATAAATCTGCCAATTTTAGTCATATTAAGCTGAAAGTTGGTGTGATGATAACTGACGATGTTTCCCATCGAATGCCACATGAAAATCAAAAATCCAAGATGGCCGCCAATGCTACTTTTGAATGGATTTAACAGCCATTTTTACACATACGAAGCTGAATTTTGGTGAGGTTATAGCTAAGAACGTTCCCTATCCCATACTGCATCCAACTCAAAAATCCAAGATGGCCACCTTAGCTAAAAAGAAAAAATATAACTTGGGCATTTTTAGAGCTATTCAGCAGAAATTTGGTTTAGTGGTAGCTGACAGCGAACCCAAACACATAGTACTGTCCCATCAACAATTTATTTGCCATCAGCCTGGTAGTCCATTACATTAGGAACAATTGTGCACTTTCTGCTTCCTTCTGATGTTTGAAGCTTTTTTTCTGCTATTTTAAGCTACTTTTCAGCTGTTTTCTTGAAATTCTCAAGAAGCATTCACACTTGCATTTTCACAGGAAATGCAGATTCTCTAGTTGTGTCTTTGCTTCCACAGTTGCAAAACTAGAACTATAAAAAGATGATGCCATGAGACAAGAACACTTAATTAGGAAACTAGAGGAGCCTATCTGTGTCTGTTAGTGTTACGCAATGCAGCGCTACCTCACATCCCCCTACAGGCAACTTTTAAAGCGTATTTGCAGTCTGACAAGTGTTTGCCAACACGTTGGCATTAAGCCCAGCGGGGCTCCCAGGACTTCCTGTGACTCTGACTGCCTGTCTGCCTGAGTCCTGGAAGGAGTTTACTCCCTGATTAACAGAGTGAGGGGCAGAGGAGAATGGGTGTGGGAGGATGGCCAAACTGGTTATGGCAGCAAGCATCAGAGGTCTCGAATTCCAAAAACTCCCATGTCCACCACACTAAGGTTGTGAGCGTGGCATGGAGAGAAAAGGCACAGAAGACACAAGAAGCTGGCTGGATGCTGGCACGACAACTTTGTGTGTGTTTGTTTGTGTGTGTCATGTCTAACCACACTGAGCTGGCTCCAGGAGGCACGCAAGGGTCTGTACTGCACCACGATGCCATCATCAGGTTTGGGTCCTCTGGAATCGGCGTCCTCGTCTGAGTCGTTATGTAGCGCCTTCTCTTGGTAATTTTGGTAAAGTTCCTCTTCTGAAATGTGGTTTAATGATAAAAAAAAAAAGTTAGGAACACGTGAACTCAACGTTTGCAGTTTAACTAAAGACATGCAACTGAACAGATAAGGGTTTCTCACCTTCCCTGTCAAATGTTCGCTGACTTGACAAGACTTTCCTCTTATCTAGAGTCTGAAAGAGAAGGAAACTTTCACAAACAGGAACCCTCTGAGAACAAGTAAACACAATGATCTTTAAATAAAACTGACCTACTGCTGTAAATACATCTGCCACCTGCTCATGACCGCTCGCTCTCTGCACTTTATAATGACCCCCTTCATGGATTTCAGTCTAATTGCAGACCCATTGTGTATTTAAGAGAACACAGAGTCTCGTTACATCACATCTCCCCAACAAACAAGCTAATTGTTTTCCTGCAAGGCTTTGTCCAACCGTCTGCTGCTGCTTGTTGGTTCCACATTAGTCAGCCTGTGTTGCAGTTTTATCATTTGGACTTTACTCTTCTCAAATCAAAAGTCTGAGTCAAAGCAATCTTTGTGCCAAGCAGTGTATAAAACTTTTAGAAGGGGTTGGGATTACCAATCAAAACAATCTTAATTTGCTACAGCTAAGTGAAATACCAAGGATTAAACGAGCTCCTTGACAAAGCACCTTTTTCTTTTACCAACCTTGTTTTTTTTGTTGCTTTTAAGTTTTTCCGTTCGAGGACTAGAAGGCCTTGAAATCCGGGGGCTGGGAAGTTTTAGTGTCCCAGAGTTCATAGGAGTCATGGTGCCAGGACTTGATGGGCTGACAGGTGAATCTGGACTATCCAAAACAAGCCCTCGTAGGTCAGGCTGGAACAACGGCTGGTTCTTTGGATCCACCAAAGGGGCCTCCGATTCATCTCTGCTCACCACTGCCCTCTTATAAGATGTGCTCCTCAAACCTCTCCTCAGGGTCCCAGGGCTTTCACTTCCATCTGTTTCTTCATTGTGGCCCCCTCCAGTAGAAAAGTAGCCTCCGGTCTCCACCATGCTGAGAGCTTTCAGACCTCGTTTGGAGTGCTCCAACCCCTGCCTGACCAAACCCTGGCTTCCATTAGAACATGCCTTGTTCTGTCGAGTTTCCGACACCAAGCCTTTGGGGATGAGCTGCTGGGTGCCCATCTTCAGGGCGGCGGGACTGTTGGTGCTCAGGACGATGGTGGGCAACGGTGAGGTAGTTGGGGAAAGCGATGGTGATGGGGAGGTAGAGGACGATGAGGCAAGCAGGGTGTCCTGTGAGGATGTCCAGGACTGTCTGAGTAGTGAGTGCCCTCTGTCTGCTGGCGATGGGGAGCGGGGGGTGGGAGGGTCTGAGGAGGTTAAGGACATGAGTGAGGGGATGCTTGAAGTGGAGCTGTCGGAGGGAGTGAGGGTTCCCCCCGATGGAGATGAGGAGCTGGACGAGGATGACCATGAAGACTGTTCATAGTGATTGTTGTTCGCGGGCGTGGAACAGTTGTGAAAAACCGCTTCGGATGAAGGCGGGTTTGTCCCGAACTTATTCTGGTCTTTCTGTAAGCGGAGACTGAGAGGACTTGGGGTTTGTCTCCTGTTGTCCAAATGATGCTTGTCAGACCGTGCAGCTTGTCCATTACTGGTTTTCCCTCGCTCACTGTCCCCATTGCACAATCTGTTGTCCAGTGAAGCGCTTTTGTTTGGCTCAGACCTAAATTTGGACAGTGAGAAACGCCCACTGGTGAAGTGTCCAATGCTTATACTCCGAACCACTCGGGTTTTCTTTGAGGGCTTGTGTAAAATGTGCTTTATCGTTGATGTGTTTTTGCCAAAAGGCTGGGGAGGGATGGCGAGTTTCTCAGCTGGCTGACTCAAAGTGAAGGAGCTGTTGTTGACTTCCACAGGGTAATCTGTTCTCGTGACCCCATTTATGTGATAACTGAGGGGTCGCGTCTTAGATCTGCTTGAGTCCAGGGAGCTTCTAGAAATGTCGGTGCGTGGCTTCCACAGAGGCGTGATGTTGTTATTGGACAGATCTACATCGTTGCCAAGATCCATGGTGGCGATGTGTTTTATGTGTGGCTGAACTTGCAGGTCACGGAGCAAACAACAGAGCCCTATAGAGAGCAGACCTCTCCCCTTGGGACAGAAAAAAGACAAGAATCACTAAGTGTCCAAACTCCCAGGGTTACTCATTAACAGGAGTTCAGAGCAGAAACAAGCAGGCAATAACAGTCAAGACACACACAAGTCAGAAAATTATGCTGCAAACAGCAGTAAAAAACAGAGGACAGTCCTTTTGTATTTGCTCACTGTGCTGAAATGCCCTAATTCCAAACTGGACGGAGCGGGAAATTACTCTGATACCACAAAAGAGCAACAAGGGGAAAGAAATTCTCAAATCCAAGTTACTTCTAAATGTGTTAATCCATGCACAAGTCACCAAACACACAGGCAGGATTGAGTTTCTGAAAACAAAACTCTTTTTTTTTTTTTCATTCAACTTTTAATCCCATTTGTGCATTGTGTGATTTGTGCAGCAGTTTAAAGTCCAGTTTACCTGAAGTCTGTTGATCTGAAAGACGCGCTCATTGTGCCCGCGCTGGTGGGAAACTGCGCGTCTGTCGGTGGAGAAAGTAAAAAAAAAAAAACTGAAGTGAAGGACTTTCAAGAGTGGAGTCCAGCAGAACAGAGCAGGAGCAAAAGTTTTCTAAAGTGACTGACCGAGCGGAGACTCTCCGTGCGCCTTTTGGAACGCGTCTGCGAGCGCGCGGAGGAGTGTCACAAGGAGGAGGAGGGACAGTGGGGAGGGGGGTGGGAGAGACAGTGCTCAAGTTCACAGCTGAACTCAAGAATATTTTCTGCTTCAGAACGCGCATCAGGAAGGATTTCCGAGAAGGCAGTGACGCATTTTGAAGGAGAAGCAGTTATCCCACATAATTACACAACAGACAGGCCTACATGCACACACACGCACGGGGGGTGGTGGAGAGTTTAAAAAAAAGCAATATAAATAAAAGTGCAACTTTTAATTTTGAAGATGTACACTGTTTCAAACAAACCTGGGGGGAAACAAAATGGGTTATTTTAGAAAAAACTATATTGTGTTTGGCGCCATCTGGTGGCCGATACAGGTATTTCAACGGATTTAAACAACTTTTACAATGAAAGAAAGGAAAAAAATATATTTTTTTTTATTTATGTCTATTAAGCCTCACACTGTCCAAGTTTTGAGGGTTCCTGATTTATAGTTTTCATTTCCACTCTAATAAAATGTGTTGAGCAACTTGGTAATGATCTCAAACTTTTTTTTTCATTGCGCAATTCTGTGTATGACAAAATGTCCCCATTAAATGAACACAAAACATTCCTCGAGGCAAATAATTGCACACCCCAAGTGGATTCCAGTTTTTAGCATTTTCTTTGAAGGCTCTTCAAAGAGTCTTTACTGTAATTAATTAGCAGCTGTCAAAAAAGTTCTCATGTTTAACTATTTTGTGTACTTCTTGTATTTAACCACAAGGGGGCAGAGCTTCACTGTTTAACTAACATGACAGGTTTAAAAAAAAAATCTGAAATAGACTTTAAAATAGACATAAATATTATTTTGTTTTATCTGACCACTGGTGAAAAAAAAACGAAATGATAATGCTGTAAAAATAGAGGTTTTAGTACATGTTGGTGTTTTTTTTTTAAACAACAACAAAAAACTTTTATGAAATTTAAACACTTGCACTGTATTATTTATTTTTTGAACACAGTATTGTGTAAACATGTGATAAGACAAACAGATGTTGTGGATTCACATCATTCTGAGTGGCAACTAATCTGACAGCTTTTCGCTCTTAACGTTTCACATGAAACTTAGTCGCAAATGTTTTAAATTCACACTCAGAAACTCACACAGCTCTTAGATTTATGACTGTTTTTTTATTTATGAGAGCAGTTGCAACACAAACAGATCCCATCCTGTTGATTTACATCTAAATATGATCATGTTAATAATAATAATAATAATAATCTTTTCAGGTGGGATAAAGTATTATCCCCTGATTAACTGATTGATTATAAACAATTAATATAATACCTGTTTCAGAAAGACCACGGTTTGGAAGATATTATTAAAGCTGACTACATTGATAAGCTAATGGCTAGTCCAAGCATGATCAAATTAAATTTTTGTCTTTTTTAAAACAACTTAATCTAAAAATAATCTTTAGTGATTTGTCCAAACACTAATTCATAAGCCTTTACACTACCATCAGTTTGGCATCACCCAAGTATTTCCATAGAACTCTGTGGTTATTTGCACATGCTAATAGAAGCAGCAGCTAGCTGTAGCACTTCTGGGTCAGTCTGAGACACTTGCAGCAGTAAATAGTATTTCTGCAGGAATAATTTAAAAATGCTCAAAAAAAAAAAAAAAAACATTGTTGACTGTTTTTGGACCAGGCTTTAGCTCAGTCTGATGAGAACAAAACCGTTTTTTTTTTTGTTTTTTTTTACTGAAGTTGCTCAAAGAGCCACCTAAAACAGGTAAGATATTTATTGTTCACTTAGAAAGGTAACTGCAGTACATTCATCCTTGTTTTAAAAGTTCCTGCAACAGAGGAATGTTGTCCCTTCTTGACTCAGTGTAGATTTGGTTTAAAAGTCTCAGTTTTGTAAGTCAATACAGTTTGCCAACAAATTCATCATTTCTGCAGCCATCTGCAGAAATTTTAAAAATCCACATACTTTTCATAGACGGTCACCAACTGGATGACTCATTCATACACTGTTGGTTTAACTTCTAATCCAGTTTTACTCCATGGACAGATGCCACTAAATTCTTACTAAAAACAAAACCCAACCAAACCATGAATTTTTACTTTCTCACATAAAATCTCATTTAAATACCATCCATCCATCCATCCATCCATCCATCCATTCATCCATCCATTCATCATTCATCCATCTATCATTCATACATACTTTGTACATTCATCCATCC